GATGCTTAACCCACTGAGCCACCCAGGTGTCCCAAGATAAAAGAATCAACTGTTGTATGAAAAGAGTCCAGGAACACTTGTGGACTTTTTACTTAATTTCTTTTCTTTTTGCAATAAATTGAGTATTCTTGGACTATAACTTGCAAGTATAATGCAGAACGCTGTAGCCCTCTGCTCACTCTCTACTGCTCTGCTGTGTGGAGTACAAAGCGTTTCCCAAGATGACACTATCAGTGTCATCTTCTGGTGTCAGAAGTGGAAAAGAAAAAGCCAGGACTGCTGTGAAGTGTTCAGTCTGCTTGTGTAGAAGACACATGAGACCTGAATGTACTTCAGGACTCCCCAAATGATGCCGGAGAAGCCCAGGTTACTGTGAAGTAGGCCCCAGATGTGGGTGAATTCCTCCCTGGAACTAAAGGATGAGAAAAAGGAGAGCAGTGCTCTCTGCTAGGCAGTGGAGCCCAGGCCTGGGACCTAAAAACTTAATTTTCTGGGTTTACACCAGTTAGGGGGCATGGAGGATGAGCTGCCTCAGTAATTCCCTATCAAGAACTCTTCACCAGGGCCAAGATTCTCCAGCGAGGCCAGTCACACGGAAATTCTGAGCCCAAATAAAAGTCAGCACAACCCAAGGGAACCTCTAAGGAAACCGGGATTGGTCCATACAGCTCTGTAGCTGAAAGGGACACAAACTCAGGTTAGGCAATGAGACTACTTCCGTAATATCAAGTGGGCAGTTGGACACATGAGTATGGAGCTTCAGAGAACAAGTCTAGATCAGAGTACATATTTAGTAGTTACCAGAATAACAAGCAAATGTTAAGTGAAACCAGGGCAGCAGATGAGACTTGTCAGGGCCTACAACTCATGTTAAAAGAAAAGAAAGGAAGAGAGAAAGAAGTGGTGTGGGGAGGTAGATACCAATCCCCTTGGTTGATTTTAGGGCTAAGGTAAGGGATATATGAAAAAGCACTTTATTTCACTTCCCTACCTCAGTAAAACCAATTTCCTACTCCTCCTTCCCTCCATCAATCTTTTTCAGACTTTCTTTAAATTATACTTCCAACTGAAAACACCATCCCTCACAAATACAAAATGGTAAAGAACCCAAAAATCAATGACATTTGGCCTCAAAGGACACCTACACTTAATGTTCTGGAAACTCTGTAAAAGCCAAAAGAATTTCTCCCAATGTCTCCACCATGGCTCTCTGCTTAACTTTTCATTCTATTCTAGAAATACAGTTTAATCTCTTCTTCGACTAGTTCAAAGCAGACTGGCATTAAAATCTCCCTTGGAACAGTTAGGGCGGTTAGGTGTTTCAGTTTCAAAGGAATGTAGCTTGTAAGCAAAATTAACATCAAAAGAGGAAGCCAGATGTCAAAATATTGAGCAAAATGGGCCTGTCAATAATGAAAAACAAGCACTGCAATGTGGAGAAGCCCCACACCAATAACCTCAAGGTAAATTTCAAAATATGTTTCAGATACAAACCTTCATCCCTCATCTGTGACCTATATTTTTTCCCTCCACCCACTACATCCTCTTTTATTAAAAGTAACACAAAGGGAAAACACTTTTGAAATCAGAGTGAGACTTATACACCCCAGCTGCAACTTCAACAAGATATCATCATGACTAAGTTCACATGACTCACAACTTTCCTGAATTATGCAATTCATAACAGTTCAATTGAAATCATCTTGGGTGTCCTGTGGAGTACTCCAAAAGCCAGGATTCTAGTATATGTTTCTATCCTTCAGAAAAATGTTGTCAAATCCCAGGGTGCCTGGGTGGCTCAGTTGGTTAAGCATCTGCCTTCGGCTCAGGTCATGATCTCAGGGTCCTGGAATCGAGCCCGTCAGGCTCCCTGCTCAGTGGGAAGCCTGCTTCTCTCTCTCTCTTTCTCTCCCTCTGCACCTAACCCACTCTTACTCTCTCTCTAAAATAAGTAAAATCTTAAAAAAAAAAAAAAGTTATCAAATCCCTAATCAATATTTAGTACTGAGGGGCACCCTGCTGGCTCAGTTGGTATAGCATGCAATTCTTGATCTCAGGTTGTGAGTTTGAGCCCCACAGGGCGGGTAGTGTTTACTTAAAAAAGAAATTTAATACTGAGTTTATGGCAACATTTATAAGACCAGTAGACTACAATAAACCATGCTCTTTAAAATACTGAGTTTATGGTAACATTTATAAGACCAGCAGACTACAATAAACCATGCTCTTTAACTATAAAACTATTCTTTGATCTCGACCAGTTCAATCTAAATGATGGTAAAGCTAAGCAACTAATCACATCTGGAGCCATCAAACACACACACACACACACAAACATAAACACATACACAAAGTCATTCTTCAGAAGAAAAAATACCCACAAGGCATATACTTACTGTGGGAATGTGGCAACTCACTACGCCTTTCTGAGGCTCATTTTTCCTATTGTTTTATTTTAAAAACTAAAACATGATCTGTAAGGTTCCTTTCAACTCTATAGTTTGTAAGTGCCCCCACCAGGAGTGTCCTTATTTTCCCTCTTCACCTACCTAAACTTAAAGTCTGGGCTTGAGTATCACCTCCTTCAGGGAGCCCTTGATAACTTGCCCAGGCTAGGTTCAGTGCCTCTTCAGGATAACAATACTTGCCATAATGTACTGTATCACTCTCCTCCATGTTGTTTTGGAATTGTCTGTTTAGATCTCTCTGTACCACTGTGCAAAAGCTTTTTGAAGTTGCATATTGTCTGATATATCTCCAATGCCACACATAATACTCGCCTACTACAGTATGTGCTCTTCTAACATTTTGTGAATAAATGGGTAAGGCTATGCATTTTTCTGGCACTGGTGGTCAGCATTTTGCAAATAAAAAAACACACAGTCAACAAAAAACCCCTCCATGATCTGTGAATGTTGTGGAGGATTCATCTAGAAAGTAAGGTTTTCCTTTTTACTATGGACATCCTTAGGATTCATGCTATTTATTTTTCCACCTGTGAACAAGAGCATGATAATAAAAATGCAGCAGCTGTGTTACAGTAAAAATATAATTTTAATATCTCAAAATACATGTTTGTTTCTATTAACATTTCTATTAACATGTTTCTAACATATGAAGTAGATCCTTACTCTATCCCTCCATCCTGACCACCACTACCTCAAAATTTTCCTTCAATATGTACTAACTTATCACATCTCAACCCTTCCTAACAAGCTCCCTTGCCTTTCATTACACCAGTCACCGGTAATCCATTTCAATTTGAGAGAACCACAAAACAGCTGTTCAGGTGAGAACACTCAACAGCTTTAATACCCTCAGTCAATTACAATTTGTCCATTAAATAAAAAAATTGCCAGTAAACTAATGTGAAAGTTTTAATTAGCTACAAAGAAAATCCACCTGCTGTCTCAATCTGCACAACACTACACATGGAATCATGGTGGGATTTGGAGACCAATACAACCATGAAAAATCAACTGTGCACACTGGGAAAATATACCGTTTCATACTTAATTACTAAACTGTCTTATATGTCAACTTTTGTAAGGCAAAGAATCCTAACACTTCCTAAGTTTACACAAATTTCACATCTCTTAATGTACGTTCATCCTAAAATCCAATCTCTTTAGAAAATCTAAATAAGAGTGGGGGGGGATAATTGGGGGATGGGCATTAAGGAGGGCACCTGATGTAATGAGCACTGGGTGCCATATGCAACGGATGAATCACTGAATTCTACCCCTGAAACTAATAATACAGTATATGTTAAATGAATTGAATTTAAATTTAAAAAAAGGTGTAGTTGAAAAAAAAAAAAGGGAGAGAGAAAATCTAAATATGAACCCTCTACTTCCTGGACTCAAAACTGATCAAATTGGTCATCCCTGATCATTTCTTTGTTTAAAATGGCAAGGAAGGCATGCAAGCGGTATCAGAGTTGGCGTGGTAGGTTTAAGCGCCCCCTTCCTGCACCCCCAATAAGCTACAATTTAAGTAAGCACATGCTTACGAAGTTCGCAAAACTCAAGTTCAAGATGAGTTCTCCAGCCACCGCCTTCCAACCAGATTACTACATAAGAACCTCCTACAGCAGAAATTCTAGTTCGCTCCTTGCAGAGCCAGGAAGAGCTGTTGGAGGTTTGGGCCCTTCCTATCCGCACCCGCCCCCCCTCCAAGTCCTGGCTTTGGTAGGAACACACCTTAGTAGGGCAGGGACCTGGACCACATCTCCCTCCCCAAACACAAGCCAACACCACCCCCCTTACCGCCTTCCCAAACACAAACTCAGGAGGCAGACCCCTCCCAGGCCCTCAGTCACTACCGGGGGCCCCTTCCAGGAGCCCTTTCCCATTCAGAAGGACAAGCCCTTCTCCCTTCCTTCTCTAAACTCCGAGAGCCACACCCCCTTCCTGCACCGAAAACTTAGGGACGCGCCACCGTCCAATACCCCGCCCCTAACACCTGAAAGATCCTGGTCCCCTGCTCTTCCCCGAAAGCAGCGCGCTCCAGGCGCCCGGCGCCGGCCCTAAGCCAACTCTCCCGGGTCTTTACCGAGTCGCTCCGGGGAATCGTCCGGAGGTCGCGGCGCCAGCACGAAAGGAACCACGCTGGTCAAGAAGAGGAGACACTGCCTCATGTTCCCGGCCCGGCCACCAGCTCCACCTCTCTGGGCAGCCTTCGCCTGACGGGGGCTTGGGACACTGATCACATTGGGAGAGAAGGGGATCCGCCCGGCCCTGCCCCTCAAGACTCTTTCTCCTCCCGCGCCGCCTACCGGAAGACTCTAGAGCCCGGCTTGAGGCCCCCGGAAGTGCAGGCAGCGCTCCGAGAGGGCGGCTCAGCCCGCTTCCGGCCGCCGCCGACCCCCGCACCGCCCACAGCCGGAAGCCGGGCGCCGCGCGGCATGCCAGGAGGCCCTCGCTCGCCCCGCCCCGTGCCGGCGCTCCGTCCCGTCCCCTCCCCTCCGCCCTTCCCTTCCGTCCCCCGGCGGTGCGGCCGGCGCCTGCTCGGACGCGGGATGAGACGTCCTGACTCGACCCAGCCCGGCCTCGGCTGTGTCCTCGGGTGACCGCCGCAAGGAAGGCGGGAGCTCGCGAGTAGGCCTGCAGAGGCGCGTCCGCCCGCCTCCGTGGTCTGGGTCCCTCATCTGGTTAGGATCCCTGTATCCTTTTCACTGCCCGGTGTGGTCGGGGGAATGACCCAACCACGAAATGCCTGGGACGCAAGACGGCGGAGACCCTGCGCCTGACCCCGGAGAAGCCCGGTCCACGCGCCAGCCTCCCGGACACAAGTGCAGTGTCCAGCCGGTTTGTCCGCGCCCAGCGTGCGGCCACCGGCGGCGTCCATTGTAACGAGCAGGGCTTGGTGGAGGGAAATGAACGCGAACTCTTTGAACGCGCGTTTTCTTGGCGCTGTGGGCAGAGGGTCTGCAAACTCTTAGAGATTCTAGAATCTCACCCCTAACTCCTCATCTGTGTGAGCACAGGAGCTAGAATCTTCCAGCCGACTTTTAAAAAAGTTAGTTCTGCTTGACTCGTGAGCTTAGACTGGAGATTTCCCAAAGCAGTTTGTATTTTGTTTCCTTTGCATAATTTCAGCTCTGTGTGGTTGAGTGAGAGTGTTTATAGTACTGAAGAAAAACATTCTAATAGCATTGGATGCTTATTGCTCTTTTGGTTCAACTAAAATTTATACAAGTAGGACATAACACATTTTCCACTTAAGAGTGAGTGGAACAGCCTTTTCTCCATTATGAAGTGGTAAATTGTTAGGAATAGGATATAGCCTTACTCGGTGAACTTTCAAGGCTAGTTCCTAATAAAATGCACAAACTGTGGTTTAAACAGGTTCATTGTGGTTTGCCTCAGGAAAATCTCAGCATCTTTCCAACAGTTGTTATCCATGGTTACTGGCTTTGCATTTTTGGCTTAACTGAACCTGGTATGTTCATCTGAGGTATGCCTTCATTAAATATAAACATCTGGCATATTTAATCAAAAAGTAAGCAGAATTTCACCTCTGTAAATTGCACACAACTTAAAAAAAAATTGTATCCCTTGGGGTACCTGGGTGGTTCAGTTAAGCTTCTGGCTCTTGATCTCAGCTCAGTTTTGTTGTTGTTTTGTAGAAACCATCTTTTTTTTTTTTCATTTAAATTCAACTAACATATAGTGTATTAGTTTCAGAGGTAGAGTTGTTATTCATCAGTTGCATATAACACCCAGTGCTCATTACATCATGGGCATTAAGAAGGGCACATCACCCAGTCACCCCATCCCCCCACCGACATACCCTCCAGCAACCCTCAGTTTTGTTTCCTATGATTAAGAGTCTCATGAGGGGTGCCTGGGTGGCTCTGTCGGTTAGGTGTCTGCCTTCAGCTCAGGTCATGATCTCAGGGTCCTGTGATGGAGCCCCACGTTGGGTTCCCTGCTCAGCAGGGAGTCTGCATCTCCCTCTCCCTCTGCCCTTCCTCCCACCTTGCTCTCTCCTCTCTCTAATAAATAAACTCTTTAAAAAAAAAAAGTCTCTTATGGTTTGTCTCCCTCTCTGATTTCGTCTTATTTTTCCCTCCCTCCCCTCAGCTCAGGCCTTGATCTCAGGGTTATGAGTTCAAGCTCTGCATTGGGCTCCAGGCTGGGTGTGGAGCCTACCTAAAAAATAATAATAAAATTAAAAAAACTGTATCCCATAAAAATGTGACCATTATATACAATTTTTAAGCACAATTAGAATATCATCTCCTGAACATCCAGGCACCGTACTCTCTAGCTTATAACTTCAGTAGATCCTAGATTATATTCTTTTGGTGTCTTTCACAGCTCTACAGTGTCTTGCTCATAGAAGGCACTTAGCTGTTTAATAAATGCCATTTTTAATTTTTTAAAGTAGGCTCCGTGCCCAATGTGGGGCTTGAACTCATGACCCACAGACCTAGAGTCACATGCTCTACTGACTCAGCCAGCCAGATGCCCCAATAAATGCTGTTTCTTAAAAAGTAAAGCTCTTGATCCATTTTCTTACTCATATCCGGAAGTCTTAGATTTTCAGGGACAGTCCAAATATGAAGCAGTCTCTCCCATTTACAAATCAGTACCCAAATTAGGATTTCCCATTTGACGCTTGTCTTTATCAGTTGTCTGTATCATTAAGATAAATTAACACCATGTAGGGGAGATAAAGAGCCAGAGGAACATGATAAGAGGGGCACATTGGATAGAAGAACAAGTGGTCTGAACCAGTGACCCTCAAACTGTTATTCTCTTATCCCCAAAAGAACTGATCAGGATGAAATTTGCAGCATAATGTACAATGTCAATACATTTAAAATTGAAATTGTTAGAGGTCGTTCTTTTGAATTTACCAAATGGGATATAAATATCTGAGAGATTTGATAGCCACAGTGGTCACCAGCCCCCAAATAGCCCCCCAACGATCCCTGCTTCTTGATATTCGCACTCTGTAAAGTCAGTCTCCTAACACATTGTACCAATAGCATACAGCAGAAGTGATCGTATTTCACTTCAAAGATTTTGAGAGACTGTCTTCCATCTGCGGTGCTCTCTTGCTTGCTTGCTCTCTCAGGTCACTTGGTGGAACATGCAGGAAGCCTCCAGAGAGGCCCACAGGAATAGAGGTCACCAGCCCACAGCCAGCAAGTAACTGAGACTTGTTGAAGACTACATGAGTGAGGGGCGCCTGGGTGGCTCAGTTGGTTGAGCTGCTGCCTTCGGCGCAGGTCATGATCCCAGAGTGCTGGGATCAAGCCCCGCGTTGGGCTCCTTGCTCAGCAGGGACCATGCTTCTCCCTCCCCTCCCCACTCATGTTCTCTCTAGCTATCTCTGTCTCTCAATCTCTCTCTCAAATAAATAAAATCTTAAAAAAAAAAAAAAAAAAAAAAGACTACATGAGTGAGCTTGGAAGTGAATTCTCCAGCCCTGGGCGAGCTCTGAGGTGACTGCAGTCCCCCAACCCCAACAGCTTGACAGCAACCTCTGGAGACCTGAGCCAGAACCACCCAACTAAGCCATTCCCTGGCTCCTGACCCTCAAAAACTGTGGGAGAGAATAAATGTTGTTTTAAGCTCCTACATTAGAAATAATGTGTTACACAGCCACTATCATTTGCTTAAAAAAATACAGCCAGGGGCACCTGGTTGGCTCAGTCCTTAGAGCATGCAACTCTTGATCTCAGGGTCATGAGTTCAAGTCCCATGTTGGGCATACTGCCTACTTATTTATTTTTTTAAAAGATTTTATTTATTTATTTGACAGAGAGAGACACAGCGAGAGGGGGAACACAAGCAGGGGGAGTGGGAGAGGGATCATGACCTGAGCCGAAGGCAGGCGCTTAACGACTGAGTGACCCAGGCGCCCCCCAGGTTCCTCTTCTTAACACCAGAAGTGGTTCTTTTAATTTAGGATTCAATAAAGATAAGTAAAAGATTCTTGAGAATAACTGATTTCATGCTATAGAATGAATTATTTATAATTTATATACTTACTACAAGTGAACTTAAGAGTAAAATAAATTATAAAGAGTAAAATATTTACAGTCATTAAACACATATCTCCACATACAGTTCTGGCTGAGTTTGGGCTTTTTTTTTTCTGTCACCCTAGCTCTATTTCTCTTATTCGCCGCTCTAGCCTATTCTAATCCTACCAGTACTTCTGGATGAATAGCGTCTTCCTCACTCCATTTCTAAAATGCTGATTATTCCTGCATCTGTATGTTTTTTTGCCAGTGAACAAGTCTGTGTGAAGCTAGCACTTCAGGAAACATGAGTCCATTCATAAATCTCCATCAGATAACAAACCCCACTGCTGAAATACAACTATCTACAAAGTCATCTACTAAGAACTCTAGTTTCCAAGATTTTAGTTCAGAAATTGTAACCTAGTTCAGATTCTTTCAGAAAGAAAAGTGAAAATTAAGTCATGCATGGGGCAAAGCATAATATTTGAGAATCCTCACCAACAAACAGATGATTCTTTTTTTTTTTTAAAGATTTTATTTATTTATTTGACAGAGAGAGAGAGACAGCGAGAGAGGGAACACAAGCAGGGGGAGTGGGAGAGGGAGAAGCAGGCTTCCCGCGGAGCAGGGAGCCCGATGCAGGGCTCGATCCCAGGACCCTGAGATCATGACCTGAGCTGAAGGCAGTCGCTTAACCAACTGAGCCACCCAGGCGCCCCAAAACAGATGATTCTTTTGCAAATTTTTTAAATGGGCAAGAAAGTAATCAGGCCTAATTAAAACTGGAATAATATTTTCCCCAAAGTTCACAAAGGGAGGGAAACCAGCCATTTCGTCTAAAATTTTAGTAACCATTTCTCTCTCTCTCCTCTCCCTCCGTCCCTCTCTCTCTCTCACACACACACAATTTTTTAATGCCTTTTTCTTATCAGGCATCTTTATCACAGGGTTATTATTTTTTTATAACTTTCTTTTTTTTAAGATTCTATTTATGTGTCGGAGAGAAAGAGCACAAAGCAGGGGGAGCGGCAGGCAGAGGAAGAAGCAGGCTCCCCGCTGAGCAGAGAGCCTGATGTGGGGCTTGATCCCAGGATCCCGGGATCATGACCTGAGCTGAAGGCAGACACTTAACTGAGCCACCCAGGCGTCCCAAGATGTGTAGTTTTTAAAAAGGTAAACTCAAAGAAGCAGAGAGTAAAATGGTGGTTGCCAGGTGCTGGGATGGGAGGGGTGGAAATGGGACATGTTGATAAAAGGCACAAACTTTCAGGTTTTGTTCTGTTTTTTAAGATTTATTTAGAGAGAGAGAGAGAGAGCACATGAGCAGGAGGAGGGGCAGAGGGAAAGGGAGAGAACCTCCAGCAGACTTTCCGCTGAGCACGGAGCCCGACATGGGATGGGCCCAATCTCATGACCCTAAGATCATGACCTGAGCCAAAATCAAGTGCCAGATGCTCAGCTGACTGAGCCACCCAGGCGCCCCCAAACTTTCAGTTTTAAAATGAGTAAATTCTGGAGATCTAACGTACAGTATGGTGACTATAGTTAATAATACTGTATTCTATACTTGAAATTTGCTGAGAATACATGTTCTCACTACACACACATACAAATAGTAACCATGTGAGGTAGCAGATGTGTTAATTAACTTGATTGTGGAAATCATCTCACAATGTATAGGTATATCAAGTCATCATGTGGTACACCTTAAATATACACAATTTTTATTTGTCAGTTATACCTCAGTAAAGCTGGGGGGAAAATGATACCAAAGAGACCCACATCTTACATTTCCCTCAAAGGATCAAAGGTACATAGAAACAAAAACACACACAATGTGATATTTGCCTAAAATACACTGGACGCATGCATTTTTTTCATATTTTTTAAAATAGAATTTTCATTTTGGAATAATTTTAGACTTACAGAAAAGTTGCAAAGTTCATATACAGTTCCCACACACTCTTCACCCAGCTTCCCCTAACATTCACATCTAACATAATCATGGTATTTGTCAAAAGTAAAAAGTTAACGTCAGATTTCACAAATTTTAAGATAATGTCTTTTTATGGCCTTTCAAAATAGTGATAAAACACGTAACATAAAATTTACCATTAGTGACATTCAGTACATTCACAGTTTGTACAACCATCACTACTATCTGGTTCCAGAACATTTTAATCAGCCCAAAGAGAAATTCGATAAATTCTATACCCAAGTCACTCTCCATTACCCCTCCCCCCCAGCCCTAGCAAGTCTAATTGGATCACACAGTTTGGCCACTAATATTCTTTTTCTGTTCCCCAGTCCAATTCAGGATACCACACTGCATTTAGCTACATTAACTTTTTTTTTTTTTTTTTTTTTTTTTACTAATCTTGAACTCATGACCCTGAGATCAAGAGTCGCATGCTCTTCTGACTGAGCCAGCCAGGTGCCCCAGGTGCCCTAGTTACATTAACTTTTTTACTCTTTAGGTTTCATAAACTGTTTCTAAATATTTCATTCTGTAGAGAAGCACTAATTTGCTTAATTGGTGTTCAAGGAAATTGTCCAGTGTGATCACTCACTACCTCCCCTCTGCACTGGTCTAATAGCTTCTGAAGTGACTTTCTTGCCTCTGCTTGCTCTCTACCAATACCTCTATTTATCTAGCTAGGGCTGGCTAAATGTCTTCCCCTCATGACATGTTTCTTACTTCTTTCATCATCCATTTGTTTTTTCTTTTTTTTTAAATAGGTTCCATGTCCAGCAATTGCCCAACATGGGCCTTGAACTCACGACCTTGAGATCAAAACCTGAGCTGAGATCAAGAGTTGGAGGCTCAACCAACTGAGCCACCCAGGTCTCCTTATTGTCTGGGTTTTTTTTTTAAAGATTTTATTTATTTATTTGAGAGAGAGAATGAGAGAAAGAGAGCACGAGAGGGAAGAGGGTCAGAGGGAGAAGCAGACTCGCCGCTGAGCAGGGAGCCCGATGCAGGACTCGATCCCGGGACTCCAGGATCATGACCTGAGCTGAAGGCAGTCGCTTAACCGACTGAGCCACCCAGACGCCCCTTGTCCATTTGTTTTAACTGCCTTGTCTACTGATGGTATCTTACTTTTCTCCACCAGAGCAAAAGCTTCAAAGGCAAGGACCCTGCTGCCTTCCATAGCAAATAATGGTGCTGTGCATAAGGAAGTCAATAGTATGTATTAAATAAATGTAAGTTATCTGACATACAGCCAGATGTCTCACAATTTCCCCATTTTAATCAAACAAATTAGATAATTTAATGCTTGTAGTGGGTAGAACTGTGTCCTCCCAAAAAGACCTAACCCCCAGTATTTACAAATGTGACCTTATTTGAAAATAACCGCTTTGCAGATGTAATCAATTTGAGATGAGGTCATGCCGAGCTACTCACGTACACACACACACACACACACACACACACACACACACACACACCCCCCAGGTAATGACAGAGAGGCAAAAATTGGAGTAGGGGCACCTGGCTGGCTCAGCCAGTGAGCATGTGGCTCTTGATCTAAGGGTCATGAGTTTGAGCCCCATGCTGGGCACAGAGCTTATTTAAAAAAAGAGTTGGAGTAATGCAGCCACAAGCCAAGAACATCAAGGGTTGCCCACAACTCCCAGAAGCCAGGAAGAGGCAGGGAAGGATTCTCTTCTAGAGATTTCAGAGGGAAAGTGGCTCTGCCAACACCTTGATTTTGGACTTCTGGCCTACAGGACTGTGAGAGAATAAATTTCTGTTGTTTTGAGCCACCCAATTTGTGATAATTTGTTACATAGACCTCAGAGACTAATACATGGAACACCGGGGGGGCAGGGGGCCCTTTTGCCTTTTCTTCTGAAATTCCTCTTGCCCAGAACATATTTCTAGCCATCAAAAACCTAACCACCCTTTAGTGGCCAACTTAAGACACTGTTGTAGATTCTAGGTCTCCTTGACCATTTTTTAGTACTTTTCACTTTTTGAAGATTCCATGGTAACTGAAAAAGAGTAGGCAGAGAACAGATAACCAGGGGAGTTTAGGAGACATTTTTTATTGGACACAAAGCATCTACCAAGCCATGAGAATTAGTCAGGCCCCTAATCCAAACCCAACTAAGTGAAGCTTTCATGTGGATTTAATTAATTTCAACATTATTTAATATTTCCCCCAGGTTCTTCTAAATACTATGTCATTTCCAACCACGGCAGCCATCTTAGCAAAGGGGGCAGAAAGACCAGTGTTCTGGGGTCCAGGAGCTACGTCTCATCCTTTGTTATACAATAATTTATACTTTACCTCTAAGTTTCTGCTCTGTTCCTTGAAGATTTCATTATGATTCAGAAAGGAGGGTATGGACTTTGCAGCCGCACATCCTGGGCTTGAACGCTTGACAAGTCAATTACTTTGACAAGTCACCTCGTGTTTAAAACAGGGAGTTAAGGGGCGCCTGGGTGGCTCAGTCATTAAACCTCTGCCTTCGGCTCAGGTCATGATCCCAGGGTCCTGGGACGGAGCTCTGTGTGAGGCTCCCTGCTTAGCAAGGAGTCTGCTTCTCTCTCTCTCTCTCTCTCCCCCTCTCGTGTGCACATGTACTCTCTCAAATAAATAAAAACCTAAAAAAATAAAAAAAATAAAACAGGGAGTTAAGAGAACCAGCCTCACAGGGTTTAAATGAGAAGCTGGTGTTGTCTGGTAGAGAGATGGGAAAATAACTAGCATTTGAAAGCGATTTGTGGTGCAGCTGCATGATCAAAGGGAAAACAAAAAAGCCATACATTATGCAAATATTCGGTCTTTCAAAGACATTCTGACAAGAGGATGATGATGATGACAGGTAGCCGCAGAGAATAAATTTACATTTTCTTCTACTCCTCCCTTCTAAATTTTAATATGAAAGCTCTTGTGATTTAATCTTCATTGTTTAACTGATTCCATTCTAAGAAGCCTTGAGCCCAGGTCACCTGGGAGATAGGGACCCAAGCTCTTTGCTTCTGTTCCCAGATCGGGGAAAGCTGTCCTTGTCCTTGCTCATACACTGTTCAGAGAAAACATGTTTACTGGGCATGGGGACTGACTCCATTTAAGGAAAGTTATTTCATGAATCTGTTCCCAGAAAATAAAATAACTGGCTAACAGTCTTGAATGGTTTCTTTGCTTTTGGGCAAATTCCAGTTTGCTTGAGGATGGGCAAATTCTTGCTTGAGGATGAACAATAAAATTTGCAAGACAGTCCCACATTTTTGATCTAGACAAGCAATTTAACCTCCTCACCCACTGGCCAAAGCTCCTAAGGAGTAGCTGTGTGCCTGGCCTCCTGCCCCTTCCTTCCCCCTGGCTGGCCTGCTTGCAGAGAGCATCTCGAGAGTTCCAAGATAACCAAGACATCAGGCAGCAGGAGACTGAGGAAGGCAGCAAAGCTGGAGGTAAGTAGGCCCCGAACAAAAAGTGTCGGGATCTTAGGGGAGTACTTTTTACACCTTTAAAATAGCTCAGTGATTTTCCATAAACATGTCTGTCGGCTGAGGGTCAGAGGAGTGGAGCCCCAGCCACAGTCAGGGCTCAATAAAAGTTTATTAAAGAAAGAAACAAATTTAGGTTTGGAGAGTCCTGGCTGATTAGAAATGAGTCTGTCCTTTTTATACAAAAGCAGATCTTTTACCCATAATGTGGTTTAGGAGAAAGAGGTCACAGAGCTGGGGGGTCTGTGCTGCAGACTCCTTGCTCTAAGGCGGTAGCTCTCCATGTTATGGCCTATGTGAATGGTGTTACTGAGTTGGGCAGTGGGCAGAGCACACAGCTGACCACAGCATCACTGCAGGGAGCTAAGAGGTCAGGGTCTAGGATCTTGATCAGTGAGCTCTGCTTATAAAACCATCGTAGAATCTAGACAACAGAAAGAAGCTCTCTTGCTTCCATGCTGTTATGAAAACCAGTGAGAACTGTTGGTCTAGTGGTGCCTCTCTCCATTGTGGGAATTCCTTAATTCTGATCTATGCACAGTCCTGTGCTTTCCTTCTGAGGGACGGATCACACTGAAGAGCCAGAACATAACAGACTTGCAGGGTGGGGAACATTACCATTTATTTATTGGCTTACTCTGAAGCAGTGTAGACCAGGTAAGTAAACTGATGCTGCATTACAATACTGGCTTATTTTCGGGATCATGTATAGCCCTTCTAGTTATGTATTGACTTATTTACATTTTGCCTTGTTCTAAAAATAATTTCAAAGCAGACATCCATTAAAAATTCTAGGTAGGGGTGCCTGGGTGGCTCAGTCAGAGTCTTGACTCTTGATTTTGGCTCAGGTCACGGTCTTGGGGTCTTGGGATCCAGCCCCTTTTCGGGCTCCACGCTCAGAGGGGAGTTTGCTTCAGGATTCTCTCTCTCCCTCTGCCCCTCCCCCTGCTCTCTTTCTCTCTCTCAAATAAATAAATCTTAAAAAAAAAAAAAAAATTCCAGGTAGCGGGGCACCTGGCTGGCTCAGTTGGTATTGATTTCTTGGTCTCGCAGTTTTGAGTTCCAGCCCCATGTTGAGTGTGGAGATTACTTAAAAAAACAGCAAACAAACCTCCAGTTAGTGACATAAATGTGGTTTTTTTTTTTGTTTTTTTTTTTTAGATTTTATTTATTTGAGAGAGAGAGAGAGAGAAACAACATGAGAGGGGAGAGGGTCAGAGGGAGAAGCAGGCTCCCTGCTGAGCCGGGAGCCCAATGTGGGACTCAATCCCAGCACTCCAGGATCATGACCTGAGCCGAAGGCAGTCACTTAACGAACTGAGCCACCCAGGTGCCCGTAATTTTTAAATATACAAAGGACTGTGGTTGTCATCTAGTCTAGTGATGTTTTCATGCCCCCCTCTTTTGGATTGTTGTTACTTTTAGCTATAGCGCTCTATCCCCAAAAGGAATCTTTTGCAGAAACAGTGCAACAATCTATTTTATATAGACCAAAGCAGAGCCTTTGGGTCTGAAATACTCGAGAAATATCTTCATAGAATCCCTAAGCCCTCCTGAAGTTTCCAGAAAGAGGTTCAGTGATTCTCTCCAAGTCCCCAGAAAGTTAATACCGGGAATGATAGCCCAGGCCTCTGATCTCCAGTCTGGGGCTCTGTCGCCTAAACAGTGGTTAACTCTTTAGACAACTCTTAAAGACTGGGCCCCTGCTGAGACAGGCTAGTTCTGATTGCCAACTGATGCATGAGTGTGCAGTCCAACAGCTGGTAGTAACAGGAACATCCACACAGCACAAAATATGCAAAAAGAATAGCTGGAAGACCAATTATTCACCAGTTGTCACCTCTGATGCCTTAGTAACAGGGCAAAGTTGAGTGCTTAATGCAAAATTCAAATGAGTTTTGGGAGATTTGAGAGGGTACAATGTTCCCTTTACACCTGGAGAGGTAGGGAGATATTTGCCCTTGAGATTCTTCTTAAGAAGAGAAAGATAGGGAGGGCAGCATAATTTGGGTTTGTAATCTCTCTTACTCTGGTTTAACCTATAAAGAATTGAGGAGAAAGTGATTAGTATCCCATTTCTACCTAAGAAGTAACATCTCCCCAGAACCATCAGGAACCTTCTTCACTTTGAATAAGTTAGCAGTGGGTTTTCTCTAGCTTTACTTCAACAAAACAAGGTTTTGAAGGATGAATAGAAGTTTGCTAGGCAGAAAGGGAAAGGAAGGACATTCTAGACATAGGGAACAGTATTGATAATGATCCACAAGCATGTGGCCTATCTTGATGTACCACAGTGAAGCACACAGTACTGCTGAAGATTCTTGCCAGAAAAGCTGAACTTGAATCTAATAAAGCCTCTTGAGCTAACTTCCACTTACAGGAGATATGGATGGGGGATAAAGGAACTAGCTAAATAAAACCACAAGGAAGCAAGAGAACAGTCTAAAATGGGAGGCATTCTAAAGGAACCTACCCTGTTTCTGCAACAAGGCAATGCCCATATCCAAAAAAAGAGGCATCCTCTAGATTGAGATGAGAACACTGTAAACAAATGCAACATGTGGTCCAGATTCCAGCAAACCACTAGAAATGTATTTTTGAGACAAGTGAGGAAGCATGACTATGGACTGACTAGATGATGCCAAAGAATGGATGTGATTTTATTAGGTGTGAAATGGCTGTTATAATGAAAGAAAATGCCGTATTTCTTAAGAGATGTACACTGAATTATGTAGTAAAAATACAGAATGCCTGTTATTTGCTTTAAAATACTTCAGCAAAGAATAATAAATTATTTCACATAAAAAATTAAAGCAAAATGATACAGTGGCATGAAGCACAGTATGTTAGGGAGACATCTACCAGATTCCTACTATTGCCTGAACCAGACCCTTGTTTTATTCACCTGGCACATTTGTCTGGCATATCATAATCAAATATTTATTGCATGTAAGATACATAAATTACTGCATCTAATCCTCTAACAACCCTTGGAAGCATTATCCCTATTTTACATGAGGTGACTTGCCCAAGGTCACAAGATTCAAATCCAGAGCCACTTGACTTCACCTTCATAACACACACCTGTAGAATTTGGCATAAGTTCAGGAACTGTATTAGCAGGTGGTAAAACAAATTCTAGCTAGCATCCTATAATATGGAGATCAGCCTCCTTTTCCACACTAATGCAGGCTGCAACTCATGTTCCATGCCCAAACTCAAGCCGTTTCTGCTAGCATACTGCACACATTTCATTCACGGAGATCTATTGAGCTACCACGTGGGACAGGCATTGTGTTTTGGGGTGTTTGGTGTCCCAGGTGTTCATTATGCACGTCCCCTCAGACCATACATACACTTGAGAGGTGAAGCCAGCCCTTCTAGATCGTCAAATTCTGTTGCCAAACACAGGAATGGAAACATACTAGGTGAGCAACAGAGGCTTGAACATCACGTCTCTATCCTTCTCATTATCTGATCTATTAGAAACTTAAGCAAAACTTGCAGAGCTCACTCTGGGCTATTTGTCCACCCTACCGGAAACACTTGTGGTCCAGCCTAACAGAGCTTTCTGATCTTTTTTTTTTAAAAAAGATTTTGTTTATTTGACAGAGAGAGACACAGCGAGAGAGGGAACACAAGCAGGGGCGTGGGAGGAGAAGCAGGGTTCCCGCGGAGCAGGGAGCCCGATGCGGGGCTCGATCCCAGGACCCTGGGACCATGACCTGAGCCCAAGGCAGACACTTAACGACTGAGCCACCCAGGAGCCACCATTTTCTGACCCTTTTACTATAGCCCTGCACCTTAAAAACAAATGAAATATGTGAACACAACACTAAATGCCTACATATTAATTCTTCTATTAGATCTTTTAAAAAGAGAGAAGCAGGAGGGATTGGTGAATAAAAACAGAGGAACTCAAGTGCTCTACTTTCTTAACAGGAATATTGGGCACCAGTTTGACCCTGGTGACCCATAGAACCATTAAGTCAGCTCACACGATGCCCTAACAAGTTTCTAGGTCTCCTGCTCATTGCTGAGACACATCCCTGGCTTCCTGCCTCAAGCTTGGGGCCAATCTCCCATCAACACGGATCTCCCACTAATACCAAATGCAGACCTCTGGCCTCATACCCGGCACCCAGATCCCTGGCTTCCTTAACTACAATCTTAAGATTGAAATCTACTTATTCCTCTCAG